ATATACTTCTCATATTTGAATTTGTAATACAAGACAGTGTATTAAAAAGCTGAAACCTTCCTGTTGCTTGATATGCATAGGGAATATATTTGAAGGTCTTTATCTCGTGGATATACAAATGTATATATGTCATTTTCTTTCATGGTTTTTTTTTTCCTCCTCACAAAGAGCTTTGAAAAATCATTTCACAATGTCATGTGGAGATATAGGCTCTGGCTGTTAAGTAAAGCACACGCTCTAGATTCATTATTATACCACAGCCTGGGAATCTTCAAAACTATGTCTTTGAAAGCAGAGATCTATTCTCTCTCTCTGAGTTTTGGAGAAAATAGCCAGACATGTCTTCCAATTTAGAATTCTACCAAATCACTGGTTATAACTTAGACAAAGCTTATCTAGGATGATAATGATTCAGATGGGATCTTAGGGTAAAACAGCAGAGGAATAATACATTAAAATAACTAAGACACCAAGACCATAATTATCTTCATAAAGGCCTTGAGTTACAAATTGATGAATTAGTAACCTGCATTCAAAGCTCAAGTAATCCATCAATATATTCTAAGAAACATCACTTAACTTTGACTTTGTAAACCTTGGGAGATAATTAATCTTGTGACAAAAATTAAACAAGTATGCAATTATAAATATGAACTTTTGTGCATTTACCTCCCCCAACCCATACTCTTATTCTATACTTTTAAAAAACACTAATAATTTATAGCATCATAGCAAGTTAAACATGAGATCAGTTGGTTAAAATCATTTGAATTTAGCATAAGACAATATCAACTATAAATGTAAATTGTGACTTAGAGTATATATAAAAATATGAGTACCATTAGTTGTAATATTAATTGCTGAAAATCTTATTACTGTAGATCTTAAAGGTATGTTTTCATCATAATAAAAAATAAATTAAAAAGTCTATACAACTAAAATTTATAGTGATGTAGTGATATTCTTATAGCAATTAGACCATTAGTTAAAATAATTGTGTCTTTTTCCATTGGATAATAATTCACCTTGATGTCTTTCTCTATATATATGTAAAGAGAGAGAGAGAGAGAGAGAGAGAGAGAGAGAGAGAGAAGAAAATGGATAATTCAATGGTAGATGTGGTATATATTTTGCTTTTATGAAACTTGTGGACAGACAAGATTCAGGGAAAGAATACAGTGGAAGAGTGTCTTGGAATTATGACTGACTGCAAAATATTTAAAGCCATTTTTTAAATATATTTTATTGTTTTTTTTACAGAGGGGAAGGGAGAAGGATAGAGAGTTAGAAACATCGATGAGAGAGAAACATCGATCAGCTGCCTCCTGCACACCTCCTACTGGGGATATGCCCGCAACCAAGGTACATGCCCTTGACCAGAATCAAACCTGGGACTCTTCAGTCCGCAGGCCGACACTCTATCCACTGAGCCAAACCGGTGAGGGCCATGATTCTTTATTATAAGCACATTTTATTGCTGCTTCTTAGTAAATAATGACATAATAGTGTCTGCCTCTACTTCATAGATCAAAAACACGTTAGCTAGAAATTAAAACTAACCTTGTTTTTTTTTTTCAGGTGATTAGCACAGTGGAGGAACAACACATAGCAAGGGCCTTAGTCACATCAGAAAAAATGAAACCATCCTTATCCAAATGAGAAAGAGCGATTAAAGAGATTTTACAAAGTGAAGGTGAACAGGTTATAGGATTCCAGAGCAGGAAGAATAGGGAAACTGATACAGAAAAGTTAAAACAAGGCCAAACAGTGTGGGCAGTTTGCAGCCAGCTTGTAACTAACAAGCCATTATCTTCCGCAGCCAAGGACACTTGTGAGCAAATGGTTACAAGCCTCCCTAATGAGAGAATGTAGAAAGGGAGGGGGAAAGGGAAAGGAAAAAAGAACAATTTTACTCCCTAGGCAGAGACACCAGCAGTCTCAAGGCTTTGATTTTTGTTTATTTCTTTTGGGTTGCTAGCCAAAAGTTATTTAAATATGTTTAAGTCCACTCTTAGATGTTTCCTGCATAAATAGTATTGCTCTCCTTTAGAATAAGACAAATATCATGAGAGACCACTCATTCTAGATGACCCGTAAAACTGCAGAAGAAATAACATAGGAGCCAAAAGGAGAATCCTATATAATAAAAAGCTAATATGGAAATTGTTCTTTCAACTGGTAATTTGACCAAGAGTTCAAGCAGGAGTTTGACAGGGGGCAGGGCTGTCTAGCCAACCACCTGGGGCACCTCCTCCCGCTGGCCTGGCCCAATCAGCCCTGATCAGGGCGAGCCACCTAGACCCCACCCATGCACGAATTTGTGCACCAGGCCTCTGGTCTATATATATAAAAGCCTAAGCGACCGGAATGACAAAACAAGCAGAATGACCAGTTGCTATGATTCACACTGACCACCGGGGGGCAGACGCTCAACGCAGGAGCTTCGCCCTGGTGGTCAGTGCGCTCTCACAGTGGGAGCACTGTTCAGCCAGAAGCCGGCTCATGGCTGGTGAGCACAGTGGCAGTGGTGGGAGCCTCTCCTGCCTCTGCAGCAGCGCTAAGGAGTGGTGAGCCGAGTGGTAAGGAGCAAGCAGGTGGGCAGTAAGGAGTGAGCAGACAGGCGGTTAGGAGCAAGCAGCAAATGGTTAGAAGTGAGGGGTCCCGGATTGTGAGAAGGCACAGGCCAGGCTGAGGAACCACCCCCACCTCCTTGCACGAATTTCATGCACCGGGCCTCTAGTAGAACAAAGAAACAATAAAGAATTCTCTCTTGCAATACTAAATGTAAACTAGGCTAAATTCCTCTTAATTTGGAATGGTGTAGCCCATAAGCAAAGTTCTTGATACCACTTGGTTAAACACATAAATAAAACTAAAAAACCTGTTTAGTCAGTTCACATCAGATCCTAGAGATATAATTTATTCCAAGCAAATTCTCCACATTGTTGGGATTTTGGAATTGCTTCTCTAATCTATTTAGCTAATTAGATCTTAATTTTGGACTGTAGCATTCAAACTCTTCAAAACGGAAATAAATGTTATTTGTAATTTTCTGTGCCAAATGCATAAAAAGGAAAAGATCCTATTTCTTTTCTTCTCATCATTTATTTAAAATATTTTTAAGTTTTGCAACATGATAATTTACTATATGCATACATTGTGGAATAATTACCACACTGCGGTTAATTAATATACCCATCAAAAAATACATTCATCATCTCACATAGGTACAATTTCATTTTATTCTATTGGAAAATATTTTGTGACTTCCCAAGGAGAAAATATAAAGTCAGAAATCTAGACGAATGCATTTGTAGAAAATTCTAAGTTAACTATATTACTAGAAGAAAACAATTGTATATGTTATTGAACATAATATACAAAAAGCATTTATGCTTTATTATAGAATACTTTGTATTTATAATATAATACTGACAAAAAATGAAGTGTAAAATATTTTTAAATTATATTACCAGGATCCAATCTCCCTGGTTTTAAAAAAAAATCCAATTAAAACAACAATAGAAAACTATAAATGTGTATAACCTTTTGCAAAGTCAAATAATATAATTTCAGCAAGAGTAAAATATTCCACTATGGTGGGGCAGTAGGAGTGTTGGCTCCCCCACCCTGCAGGCCTGTTCCATCTGACTCCATGCATGCCCATCCTACCCATTCTCTCGCAAAGGCTCTTTCTGCACTTTATGAATTTGGCCCAAGATGAGGCCAAGAAAAAAAAAAACAACAACACAAGTGTTTTTATATTTATTTTTATCCTTTCTGACTATGGCATGAAAAATAGTCAATGGGCAAACTAAGATATCAGTAATAAAGTAAAACAAAAGAAAACAAATGAAGAATACAACAATAATGCCTAAAAGCAAAGCAGAGTTACCCTAACTGAACTGGTCAGATCTCAGAGGACTTTTCAAAGGAATGCCTATGGATGATTAAAATTTGATTTCAATTATGCTAATTGTCAAATACCTAGAAATTAAGCCTTAAAAATAAAAACGCATACACTGCATCTAAAATGTGCTTTTGAAAACCAGTTCACCCACTTACTAATGTGACTTTAAATGAGTTAACACTTCTGTGTTACAATCTTCTCATGTTAAAATGAGGAAAAAAGAACACCTACATCACAGAGTTGGTACTAGATGACCCATAAAGCGATCTTAGGGGAGCTCCTGGTTGAAAGTATACGTCCGATATATTTTAGCTATAACCATTATTGTTTTAACTATAAGCTTGCAACTGTATTAAAAACTTCCTAAGACTTGTCACAAGTTGGCTTTAATACATTTTCAGAGGTTAGCAATAACCTCTGAATAGTGTTTGTGTGTTCATGACCTTTTATTGCGTCCCTTAATCAATAAACATTTCTAATTAAAATTTTGTTAAAAATGCAGGCATTATTTTATACTTATATTTTTGCAAGGTAAAGACATATGATCTGTCATGGATCTCTTTTTTCTTATCTTTAATCTGTCTTCATATCATAAAGTGCTTGTTTTAGACAAATGTTTATGAGAATTATATTGTAAAAGTCAGAGTATTTTTCTTTTTTCTTTTCTTTCTTTTTGCTGCAAAAAGCTTTATTGTTTCATTTGGTCCAATGCATGGGAGAGGGCTCCAGGGAGGCTCAAAAAATGGCTAGTAGTTTCAGGGAGAGGCTCAGGTAAAAGCCAGACACCAGGGGGATGCAGAGGGACCCCTCAAAGGCCTCTGGGCTCCACAGGCTCCTAGTCCCCTTGAGGGGGAGCCTTTGGAAGAGATACCCGCCCCGCCCAGCCCGGGGGCCGCCAGCCTGCGGAGGTGAGTCAGGTGTCGCCCATCTTCTTGATGAGTTTCACCTCCTCACCCTGGAAGTGGTTCTCCAGGAAGCCTCAGAGCTGAGGGTCTACGCAGGTAGAACCAGGGCCTGCGGCTCCAAAAGGGCCTGAGCCACATCTTCACGGGGAAATAGAAGCCCAGAGAGAGGTAGGTGTCAGGCCCGCAGGTGCAGGATGGCCAGGCAGTTGACTGCAGCCTTCAGCTGGGTGGGATAATTCTGACGAATTTGGGAGCTCATGGTTGTTCGGCAATCATGAATTAAGGTAGAAAAACAAAACAAAACAGTGTGTTGGCCGGTCTCAGAGGTGGTTTGCAAGGTGGTGAGCAGATAAAACGTGGAGGCTGGAAGAAGCGGTATCCCTGGTTCTGTTCAGTCCAAACACTGTTGAAGCAAGAGACAGTTCTGAGACCACTGAGGACACTCAAGTCAGGGTATTTCTAATAGGTAAAAGGAAATAAAGAAAAATGAATAGAGGAACAACAGGAAATAATACAAGAAGGTGAAAAAGCAAGAAGATAAATGAAAGTTTTGGAGAAAGAATCAGATTGGTGTTTTAATTTCTTGTAATTTGGGACACTATAACCCTATTCCCAGTAGGTGGTGCTGGAGTATACGTATTTTAATCCAAAAAAGGCTGACTGGGTTCCTTTTCTCCACATACAAAAAAAAAAAAAAAAAAAAAAAAAAAGAACAAAACAAAAGTAACCTACAGCCAATCAAATACGTGTGTTGAGCATTAAATTAAATTATATCTTTAGCCATATTATTAAAAAAGAGACTGTTTGGAAAATGGTGCTGTTGTGAGGAAATGCTGGAATGCCAACATGCATTACGATCCTCTCAGTACTTTCCTCTGAGGTTTATATCCCTATTTGTAAGAGATGTTCTCCGTGGCCACTTTATAAGGGCAAAGACATTCTCAGTTCCACATAATAAATGCAACATGAAAGGAGCTGTATGGAGGCTCACTTCCCCAATCTATTTCTCAGACTGACATACAAAAATGAGAACAATAACATTTCGATGTAATATGCTTTTCGTTAAAAACACACAGACAGGCCCTGGCCCATGGTGGAGCATTGGCCTGTGCCTGGAGACGTTTCAGGTTCCATTCCAGGTCAGGGCATATGCCTGGTTTGCTGGCTCGATCCCCAGTAGGGGGCGACATTTCTCTTCTCAATGACCTTTCTCTCCTGCTCCCTCTCCCGCTCTCTAAAATCAATAAAAACATATTAAAAAATAAAAACAAAACACCAACAGTTTAAAAACAAACTTCTACATATCTCAACTAATTAGTACAATTATACCTCTCCAAGAAACTAAAGTCCTGATAGAACTAACAGCCATTCCATTTCTGCCAGATTTAGTCTCCAAGAAACACTGATTCCTTAAAGTGTCATCTGTGTGTAATCCATGACGCTACACAATAGACTTTCTAGTATGTTGAGAAATGATTGTAATTTTTCAGTACAATAACTTTAATTATAAATGAATATTAGACTGGCATTTATAAAAAGTAAACACAACTCTCCATTGGTTTGTTAGCAGAAGCAACATTCATCTCCCTGTATTGTTCCTGGCAAGGTCTTTCCATGTGAGCCTCATCTGCCTATGGAATCAAGAGATGATTTCATTTCTTGAATTTCCTGAAGGCCACAGCTGGGTAAAGGGCTTAGAAAGATTGTCAGGGAACATAAGCATCTGCATGTGTAGCAAAGCATAATTTTTAAATAAATGTGTGGGGACATTTGTAATTTGAATTTCCTTTCTTCTTCCGGTTTCAGATTTCAGGAATAAAACACTGTGGTTGTACACTAATAAGATTATGAAGGTTCGGCCACTGATGGGAGGATTAGGGCGCTCCTCAGTCACCCACAGATTGGCTGGTGTGTTAATACTGGGCCTTTTCCTCCTTTATCAGGTATTTCTGGTTATGAGGGAAGGGTACTCCCGTAAAAGCTGTGAGACAGCATAATGGATTGAGATATTAATTTGTCTTTTGTCCTCAGTGCACTTTTTCCCACTTACCTGTTGCACTCTCTTGCCTCCTAGGAGGCTTTTGCTGTAGGACAGGAAAGATAATTGTTTTCCTGGTATTACTGGAAGGAATTATGCCTGGAAGGAGAAAAGGAGATAAGCACTTTGTAGAAAAGAGGAGGAGGGAGGGAAGGCATCCTCCAGGAAATTGGGAATGGGAAGGAAGATCTGGAAATTTCCCAGCAGAAACTCAAGGCTCTCAGATTTCAGTAACCCTTAGAAGCCAAGACAGGGTGTCTCAGAGGTAACCGATGAGTGAAAGATCAAAAGGCTTCCCCAGAATGCCTTGTTTTTCATAAGACAGAAGTGAGTGAGAGAGGACCCACGTCTATTCAGAGTGAATTATCATGGGGTTGGACCTCAGAGAAACATTTACGTTTCTTTTTAAAATAAATATTCTTTCTGAGATTATGGAGTAAGATTTTTAGTTCAAGTTTGGTTTCCCATTTTGAGATTTATTATTAATGTAACTAACTATCCCTCTCAACAAAGGAAAATAATGTTTCAAAGAAAATAAAAAATGTGAGGAGAGGAAATAAAAACAACTATTTTTCTTTTTTTTTTTTTAATGTTCTTGCCTGGGGAAACATACTGACTAGTGGATCAAATGAGAAAATAAAAATTCGAGGAAGTATCATCATTATGTAACAGACCAATTCTTGTGAGATGGGAATTGGAGAGGAGTAGAATCTGTGGATTTTCTTCTTCTTGTTACCTGCATGTGTGCACTGCAACAAGTCAGGTTTGGGCTCTTATAATGTGAGTCAAAAAACACCCTCATAGCTGAGCGATGCCATGAAATAGAGAAGTTAGCATTTGCAACTTTCTGTGTCAGGGTAACAAGGAGGTGACGAATAAGAACAGAGATAAGAACCTACTCCTTTAGCTCATTAAATTCTCCCCAAACCTGCCTTATTTCAGTTCCTTAAACAAAGAAGGTGTGTGTAGCTTGTGGTCGAAATCCTCAGTAGTTAACTTTTGCTTCTTTCATTCTGCCTCAACTGGAGCTAAGGCCAAACGGGCAAGTACTTTCACCATCTCCTTTTTAAAGGAGAGGCAGGTGTTTTCCCTTGCAGTTTGCCCTTTGAAGAACCCCAGCATTATTCTATGGGGTCCTCCCTCCCACCCCGTTCTGGCCTCAGACTTTGTTTCATGTCCCAAGAGCGGGTGCAGTACTGACCGCTCTGGATTGCTTTCTCATCGCGTCAAGCCTCTCCTCGCCTCTCATGCTTGAAAAAGACGATTGTTAAATTGTATTGACATTTTTCAATGTGCTTCACCAAAAAAAGATTTTCCTGAATACCAAATCGGCTATCTTGATACTGCTTCCCATTAAACACACCTGAGTCAGCCTTTTGCCCACATCCCTCACCCAAACTAACATTATTAAAAGATAATGTTCAGAAAAAAGTAAAATCTTGACTCTTATATAATATGAAATGAATACGTAGTAAAGAATGCATTTTATTCATATGAGATGTTAGACAACAAACTTTCAACCGAGGCAATTTAAAGACCTACTTTACTGTACTAAGGGATTCATGAATCAGGCAGCTTCAATCCAGCAACCAAAAGGGTGTTCCTGAGGGGTTAGTCCTTAAGGGCCATATGTAAGCTTCCTGCCACATGAGAACAAAAGACCAGGAAAACTTGCTAGATACCAGGAATCAGACCATATAAGGAATGGAAACTGTCCTAAAGACACCTGATCGCACACCTGCATTCCATCCTCATCCATCCTCACTCCATCCATATTCCAGGCCCATGGACTCAGCCCCCAGACCCACTGAGGACAACAGCTTCCCGCTGGTGACTGCAAATTAGGATGACATTTCAGCTCCTTCATCGACCCAATGTCCCCTTGCCTCAAGATTCTGTACAAAGGATATCCCATCCCCCACCCCCTTTCCTTAAATAAATTTAATGTTTTATCCACTGTCTGAGATGGCTATTCAGCCTTCCCATGTACCACCATGTTAACCTTTCACAAGAGTTGTCCAAAATGTAAGGTTTATATAGGAAGAAGGATGGGACAAAATAAAATATTATCTTCAGACCAAGACATATGTTGGGAAGAAGGGAATGCCAAGACCTTTTATCGTGCAGATTGCATCTTCTTTCTATGGTGAGGTACCAGAATGGTTGGTTAAAATTATATTTTGGGGATAGAAATAGCAATTAGCCTCAGGTATTAACTCTAGCTTTAGTATCATGGGCTTTAGCACCAGTGACACCATTTGGGGCTGTGGTTTTCTCTTAAACAGAGAGAACCAAGTATATATTATAACCGGTTCAGAGAAAGGCCAAAACACGCATTTCTAAGGAATAATGGAATGTTGCAATAAAGAATTCTAATATCATAATTTTGTGACCAAACATATGGAACCTTCTTCCATCTGGTATCTGACCCTGCTCTAGTGATTAAACCATTTTGCAGTTTAAACTCTTACCCTGTCTACCTGAAGAACTGCATTCTTTGCATTATCCATTTCCAGAATAGAAAGTACTAGTAAAAGGCACTTGTTTTACTAGTTTGTTTTGCAGACTCCAGGGGAAACTGAGGTATTGGCCCCTGCCTGCCACCCCCTTCCCTCCTAACCATGTCTTACGACTTCAACTGTTGGCCACATCCAGTTGATGCCAAAATTTCTGTTCGGGTCTGAGTTCCAACCTCTCAAAATAAAAAAAAATGAGTTTGCGGACAAATATGGTTGGCAGATGTAAAGTTTAGTGAGAGAAGCCAGTCCTGGAAAAGGTGCAGCTGAGGTTTCAAAAGCAGGCCAGTGTCCAGAGCTCCCATTCCATATTGCAGTTGGATGCAGTTTAGCATCCAAGCTAATTAAAGTCCATTCGTCCATGTGTGCAGTCCTACATGGCCATAAGCCATGTGGGCACAGGGGAGCACATCCCCTACCACAGAAACCAGGAACCCAGGGCACCAGAGAGAGGGAGAGAGAGAGAAAAAACAGCCTGCTTTTTTTTTTGGTCTAGGGATAGATACATGCCTTGCTAGCTCCTGATTGGCCCTTTCAAAGAATTCTGCCTTAGTAACATTCTTGGGATTGGTTATATACCTCACTGCCTTGTGATTAGTACTCTCTGCAAGTTGCCTGTTTTAGTAACATCCCTACATTTTATTTTATTTTATTTTACTTTTTTAAATGTTTATTGTTGAAAGTATTACATATGTCCTCTTTTTCCCCCATTGACCCCCCTCCAGCCCACCTCTGCCCCAGGCCTTCATTTTGAAGCTCAAGGCTCCAGCACGTGCCCTTCTTTCCCCGCCCAGCCGGGTCAGGCTCTAGGTCATTCTGCCTGTCTCTGTGGTTTTTCTCGGAACAGGGCACGGTCAGCAAGTTGTGTTCTGCCTGCATCTGCAGTGCTCCAGTTCCCAGGCCCCATAATCCTGTCCCTCTCTACCTAGCCCTCTTCTGTATCCTCACAGTGACTCTACCTGCTGACCAGGCGCCAAACACACCTACCCATTGTTCTCATCTCACAACCCCAGTTCCTGACCACTGAGTCAGCAGAAACCTCAAAATCCAGTTACTCCCACCAATGAATAATGAATAATGCAAGTTTATGGTCTTGTTTTCCCAGCAACTCCACCTCACAACTCTTCCCTTTACCAGTGGTTCTCAACCTTCTGGCCCTTTAAATACAGTTCCTCATGTGACCCAACCATAAAGCTATTTTCGTTGCTACTTCATAACTGTAATGTTGCTACTGTTATGAATCGTAATGTAAATATCTGATATGCAGGATGGTCTTAGGCGACCCCTGTGAAAGGGTCATTTGACCTCCAAAGGGGTTGCGACCCACAGGTTGAGAACCACTGCTAACCCATGCTCAGTGAGTCTCATGCCCATAAGCAATTTCAACAAACTGATTGCAACTCCCAAGGCCGCACCAAAAAATGGTCACCAAAAAGTCCTGGTAAGAGTTCAGAATACTTTAAGCAATAAAACGAAAAATAAAATAAAATTAAATTAAAAAAAAGAGTTCAGAGAATGAAATATGTACCAACCCCAGTGTCTTCTTGTTTGAAATACTCGTTGGCATCCAATTAAAAACAGCAGACAAAGATG